TGGGTTAGCTATTTCACTTAATTATTTTTTTTTATGAAATATGTAAATATTCATAAATATTTTTAAATCCCCCCTGCAAATTACCCTTCACATAATCATCTTGAAAATCAAGCGACACTACAAAATTATCTATTGCAATGGAAACTTGAAACCAGTAGCTACATGTATATTAGAAGAGGTGTAGGAATACAAAATTTATATCCAATGAGAAAATGTTATGTTGATGAGCTAAAAATGAATTATCCAATATGTTAACAAACAATCGAAGGTAAAGCTTTTAATGTCCAGCAGGGCACTTTGCCGGTGGTCCTTTTTTGGGAATGCCGTCCTTCGTTGTTGGTCTTGTTTTACATATTTTATTCATCACTAGAAAAAAAGATATTCCGCAACTATGATGTAATACACCAATAGCAAGGAAAAAGCAATATGTCAGTCATTCTTACTTTACGTCAGAGCTTAGACGTCTTCGAAGAAAATGAACAACAATTTTTTTCCTTATTTTGATAACCAAAGATGCCATATATCATGTCAACACGCGATTGGCTGTGTAGGGACGAAAGGACATTCAATGAAGCATTGGAGTCATGTAATAACGTGACATAGAAGTCTTCAATCTTATAGCTTAGATTTCTGTTGTACATTGATTATCATCAGTAAAGAATACTGATATGTACATGCATTTAATCCTTTTACAATACACTTTTCAAATATTGCATAACTTTCACATTTATTTTGATTGTCCCTAATTGTTTGTGAATACAAGTTTTCATTCCTTTAATTGCTTTGTATACCAAGTAGTTTAAACCATTTACTGAAACGGAACGCTAACAAAATTTTTAATTCCATTAAACACGGATGCAACAAACCGAGTTGTTAACTTTTTTCAGCATGGTAAAATTTCTTGTATTGGACTGATGAAGATCAGGAATCTGTTTTAAGGAAACCCTCTTTTTCCATCTGAGCCAAATTAAAAGATGTAACAAGCAGACAAGAGTGGAGTGTTAAATCACATAATGCCGTTATTTCATTAGCAGCAAGGAATACGGACATGTTTTTTGGACTTTTTTAGTCAGATGGAATGCTGACGATCGATAATGTGCTAAGGATAAATTAACAACATTTCTTTGAAATTAAATTCAGGCACCGAATTTAACACGTTTCTTTAACATTTGAGAAACTGTTTTCATTATCAAGTGTAATTTGACTTACCAGGTACCCATTATTTGCAAAAAAATACATTCATTGTACATGTATATGACTGCATCATAATCATAACAAAATGGGGATCGGAATACATTGCTGGGGGCAATGCCGTTATGCCTTGGTTAAAATGTTTGAATTCGATTACATACGTAATAAAAAGGAGGGACAGTGTAAGAGTAATCTGATCAATTATATGTATTCATCAGCCATTGAATTTTCTAGACCGGATCCCACTCCGTGTTTAAACGTCTCTTGGGAGCTTTGACAAGTAAAACTCCCCGGAAATATTACTTTGTCTGATTAGTACAGAAACGACTGTCACCACACATACTATTCGGCCGTCACAGACTCGAGTGTATTACTTTCACTTTTGATTCAAAACATTACGGTTATAGCTTCAATCAAGTTAGGTTTCATTCATTTAATTACTGTGCTAAATGTGCATAATAGTACATAGTAAACGTAAGAAATGCTTATTTTGTAATAATAACATATTAAAGTATTTGAATGACGGTCATTTTATGATTGCGAAGCGTGACGTACTTGATGACGAAATCGGTGCGAGGAACTAGTACACGTGCACAATGGCGTGATATATTAATATATAAAATAAAAATATTAGTCCCAAGACTCCCATTCTATAAAATTATTGCAAATTCCTCATTTGAAATGTCATCATTGAAATAAATAAATTCCCCAAGTAATGATATTCATTTTACCTTGCCAAGAATCAACTTCAACATCAAATAAAGTATGTTTTACAGCCGGCGAAAAGTGACACTTAATCTGATAAAATTCACTCGACTAAAGGTTTATGATTAATAGAAAACGAGTTATGTTCGCAACAAGAATTGTTATAGTGATGAAGTCTGTCTGCTATTTTAAAATAAAATTGAACGGACTTCTATCTTGTTGAATGTTATATTTGATATAAATATATACATTCAAACACTCATTTTTTACTGTGATTGTTTCGTTTTTTTTGAGAGAGAAAAAAAGGATATTGAATTTGTGAGATTCAGATGTTTTTTATTCATGAGATATAATGTTTTATAAATGACGATTATGTTTCCTCGTATAAACCAATATTAAATATTACATTTTTGTAGGATAGAATTTAAAGACATAAATATACATAAGCCAGTTAGTACTTTGGACTGTAACTCCTTTCCCCCAGTGCCATTACAATTAGCATTGTTCAATTTTAAGAACACAAAATGAAACCAGAATTTACTTTTTAAATAATAAAATGACTACTTAGTGATAAAGGATATGCCAAATTTTTAACTTTTTTATACTGATTAATTCTCAAGTATTGTAGTAATTGTATGATTTATTTATGTTTTAAAGGCAATGATAAAATCATCAGAATAGCAGGTTGTCTAACATGATTCAACAAGAGAACAATTTTAAAGCACCTGTGTTGTGAATGTAAAAAACATCCAAGTGGTTTTACCACAATAGCACCGATACATTAACTGCATGATGTTTGCATACTTGAAGACTTAAAAGAGACTCCAAGGAACCTAGATTTGTTTGTAACATGTCTGTTTTACAAGCCACTTCAGAAGAAATACAAAGCTTTTCAATCCAATTGAAGTTTTGTTACACAAAGATTACATCTTGTTATAAAGATAGATACTAAATTATGAACTAATAAAAAACTGATTTAGCTGATGCATTTGTTGTTACGCATAACTTGGTATTTGAAGTATAGAGTGCTTTGGATACCGGATAATTGTATTAACAGGTTTTATTGAGCGGATGCAAAATAGTAAATTTGATTTGAGGCATATGAATTTGTTATTTCCTCTTATAAATATACATACATAATTTGGTATGTGAGTTTTAGAATTTTTTGGATACCGGATAATTAATTGGGTGGATAAAAAAAGTTATTTTAATTTGACGAATATGAAAATGTTATTTTCGCTTATTATTTTGCATTTTGTAAATGAATTTTTGAAACCGTCCGGTATCACAGAAAAACAATTAAAGATGAAAGCAATACTGAGTTTTGTGTGACAGCATTAATGTACTGGCTCTATACCAGGTGGCATAAGCTTATCACATTCGGTTTTGGTCCCTTGTGGCTGAGCCTTAACGGGTTTGATCATTAGAATTGCAGTCAATGTTGTGATTATCAGAGGCAACTAAATGGGTTCAGATAACTGGAATATATGCATCTCTTAGTTCATTAGGTAATGTTGTTGTGATCCCTGGTGTTGTTTTAAGTTTGTAACACCCTAGGTAAGCCAAACTTGTGTTTCGCGTTTCTGCTCAATATGAACTAAATTGTGTTGGTTGGTGCGCCGTAAAACCAAACAAAACAAACAAAAAAGCCGGTTCAGGGAAAAGCTATATAAATGCTCTCACGAGTTTTCAATCAAGATAAATACTTTCAACAGAATGAATACTTATACTTAAATGTAATTTAACAACCAATACATGTTTTATCCATTTTTCAACTTAATTACATATTGAGCATGGTAAACTTTAATCATAATATCGTTTTCAAGCTAGTCTATAAAAACAATATTTTTTACTTAGAATAAACTAGCAGGTGTTGCGTTCTGGTTTGCGATTTCTTGTTTAACAGTATGTGTACAACATCAAAAGCAAAGAAATTGATTTTTGAATACCATGTTCTTTTGAAATTAGATTATAAACAACAAGTTGTAGTGTATAGGTAATAACAGTTCTTTTTTCATTAGCAAAATGGTGGAAGAAAATTTCCAAGTAATAATTAAGGTGCAGAATTTCTTTTAGTATCCTCTTGTTGCTAGGGAACAAATACGTATTTACTCAGCACTCCAAATTTGTAGGTAAATCTGAAGTTTCAATGTTAAATTCTTGTAAAGACGAGGTCGGATTTAGGATACTTACCTCTTATGTATAAAAGTAAACTGATTATTTATTATTATTGTAATATCTATTTGTTCTGAGTTTTTATATTGTAAGTAAAAATTAAGATTATTTTGCCATCATTAATGCATTTCCTACAAGTGTGCTTAAATGTGTAAACGTTTATTATTTCATTTTAGCTCTTAAAGTTGATAGCTCTACAATGGGCACATATTTCATAAGAATTTCAAATATTGAATATTCAATATAAATGTATCATTTTGCTATTCTAATAAAATATTGTTTGTAAAAGGATGTTTATAAAGCTTTAAGTCATTTAGTATTTAAGTATGAACATTTATATGATGAATAAAATATTTCATTCTAGAACATTTTATTATTTGCTATATGTAATATCGGATCATGTAACTCAAATTGCTTACACTATCCAAATATATTTATTGAATGGTTTGCTGTTATGTCTAATTTTGTAAATATTGATTATGAAACAGACCTTCAATTATAGACCAATTCTCTAACTGTGTATAATATATACCTTGAAAATGTGTTAATATATAATTGTAGTATTTCTGTCAATGTTAGTATAATTAAACTGGCAGCGCTATGAAGTAAATGGATATGTACTAATTTTAGAATGATTTAGATATTTTTAAAAGGAAGAAAAACATCTGCTTAGATTAGTTCAACTTTTAGTTCTCTCAAGTCTGAAAACTTAAAAAGAATCTTCGTCAATGTGGTGCTCATTACGAATTTGTTTGAGTTATTTTAACAATTATTCAACTTATATATTTAAATGAAAATGGAAATGTAAAGAAGACTCTAAATCATAGAGAACATACAAACAAAAGATACTGCGTGGACACATCTATTTGTATCAATTTGTGTTGTCTTACACTTTTTGTATATTAACAGACATTTTTTCTCTATTACAGAGTCTTTCATAAGGGCATCACAGCGTCAGCAAGCATTGATCCAAACTTGGAGTAGAATTTCTATTAACTGAAGGAAACAAGCAGACTGAATGCTCTTCGCGTGCAGAGTTGAGCCTGTATCGGTAAAAACCAATTGATAATAGCAGATAAATATCGAAAGCAAGGCAAAAGGATATCAGTGTGTGGTTTACAATCAAATGAATAAAAATGTAATATCGTGGTGTCATTACATCGGATCTAGAAGGGAATATCATTTTAGAACGTGCCTTTATTTTATCGATATTTTCTACACGATACTGATTGGTGCGTTAAGAGAATTTTACCGTAGGGAATAACATCTATCAAATGATGATGCGATCACTATTGAAAATGGTTGTGATAATAGATCGATTTGGATAATAAATCACAAGCTTCCGGAGAGTGTTTTTCATACACGCTGGATAAAATGAAGGATATGGAATAACCTAATCATAATTAATATAATAATCACCTGGAATGGAATAATACACAATGTATCAGACGTAACTGTCTGATAATGTCTTATGATAATCTCGTGAAGAAATGCCAGTATATGTTACGCGCGCCCATGTTACCATTGGTGACGCTTTCAAAAAAGAAAAACGCAGAGGTCCAATTGTCCCTAGACATGTGTTTCAGGTCTCAGATATACGCAGGACACCCTATTGTTTTAGTACATTCTTTGTGACGGTTTTAGGATTCATAATCGTAAGCGGAGGAGTTATAATGACAATTATTGGCTATAAACCAAGTATATTATTGCCTTGGTACCATACTTTAAACGAGACTTCGATCGTAAATGAAACAAATCCATCTGCAATACCAAGTGTGCTAGGAGAACCGGGTCCATTGAGGGTATTGGTTTATTTTGGACCCATTTTAATGGGACTTGGAGTTTTTTCTATGATGGTCGCAATTGTGTTATTCTGTGAAATTAAAGATAGATATTTTAATAATATTTTACCAAAATCAATTCCAGGTCAACAAAAAAGAGACAAAATGTACGATAAAATAATTGAGGAGTTTCGCAAAAATTATTTCAGGGGGATTGAAGTACCGCTTAAACCACCGCGAAAACGAAGCAAAGGCAGGTTTTCAATATCCTTATCTCGAAGTGGTAGCATAGCTTCGTTTGGACGGCGTTTGTCACATGACTTCCAAAAACGATTTAGAAAGTCAAGTCGTGATAGCACGCATGAAAAACCACCAATCAAACCAAAACGCTCAACGATCAGAAAACATTTAGATTCGGACACTTGGATGAAAACTTCGTCACTACCAAATATACGACACAAAGATAGCGTTCATAGTATTTATTACGATGTAGAAAGCGCCACATGCCCATCACCAGCAAGGACGTCAAAAAGTTGCGGGCCGACTCTTGAGAAATTACAAACTGTTAAAGATGCAAACGGGGTGGATAACCCAGCTTATCGAAACTCTCCCCCCGATAAAAGCTCTCGTGTTCGACCTTTACTTACTAAACATGCATCGTTGGATACCTCAGACAGAAATAAACATGTTACAACTGTGATAGTACATCGTGAAATAAGCAACGAGTCGGATGATACCTCTTTAATTGTGCACCACGATCCAAACAACGACACCGAATCTAATCTTTTAAAAACTAGTTATCTTCCTGAGTTGACTACGTCACGAGACAGGTCTTTAAATCATTCCGTATACAATGAGAGTTTTGACTCAGTGATAGACATCGACCGAGACATTAAAATAATGCCAACATACAACGAAGAAAACGAAAGAAATGATAGCATTCCTTCTCCACAAGAACGACAAAACTGTATGCCTTTAATGCCCGCGGAAGATAACCAGCAGAAAGCAATTTGTTTATGTGGAACAGATACATTTTGCCCGGACCATGCAAGCTTAGGAATGGATTCAGGTGGAAGTTCTTTGAGCTTATCGTGGGATAATATTCCTTCTGAATGGAACGATTCAAGGCGGAACACAGAACCTGTGGTTTTCTACCGTAGGTCGTTCAATAATCAAACAACGTCTTGTTTAAGCGAACACTTTGAAACTCTTAACAAACCTGCAAGCAGTTATTCAGAAATACCACAGAGTTCACGTGGATTAACAGACGAGGAACAAACTGGCGAAAGTAGTGAGTCTTGTGGTCAAATTCGTGGTATGGATAGTAAACGGACCAAAACTGGACCATTTAAGACAAGAATAGGTATATTTAAAAGTGATTCAAACCTTATGCGTGTAGGGACATATTCTTTGCTCAGATCTCAACAAAATGATAATATTTCGTTAGACTCGCTTAGTTTAACTGAAGACATGTTGAAAAACTTTGAGGTGGCCGAGACAGGGTACATATAGATAATATCATTTTGTAGCAATTATATATATATATATTCATATATAAATAATAATTGCTGAACATGCTATTGTCCAAGTTAAAAGAACAAAATGGTAAACCGCATTTGTTATTGAGTTTCTAGGCACATTAAAGACATTCTTTTGTTTTTACTTGTTTTAGATTAATCATCTTAACGAAATGGATTAATAAGATATAAAATATCAGCTTCTGATTGTGAAAACAAGGAAATAATTTTATTTTAATCATAAATGTATTGCTTGACCAACTTTTATTGATGGATAACAGACCAATACCACTTTATATGCTGTTTAGAAATGTCACTGATGACATTTTCTTAAGAATATTAATTTCCTCTTCTTGGAGAAGCATTTGAAGTAGTTTATTTTCATAGTATTCTTCGGCAAAAATAGCAAATATGCTAGAAATAAACCGCTGTTAGGCACGTTTAAAGTGAATGGTTCATAATATTTTTCAATAATCCATTTTCGTATTAAACACCTCAAACTATGCAGGGACTTTAAAAATAACATTTAGGTGTTGGGTGTAGTTTAAGTAAGTTTATTCAATAAGAATGAAACGAAATGAAAACACTCATGTAGAACTATATTTTCACTTTAAAATGTGTCATCATATACAATTTTCTGAATAATCATTCAGTATTATTATGTATACAGCAAATGCATTTAAACATTTAAACACACATCAGCTTTTTTGTTTTCATTAGGTGTGAAACGAATAAAGAGCTAAACATATCATTCAGAATATCTTAAGGTTTCACTATTATATTTTTTTTTATTTTTATAACTGCTTAACTTTGTTACAATAATTGAATATTACATTTTGTTTACATTTAGTTTACATATTATTGCAATAATAAAATACAAAATCGATTTTAAGACGACAATACCAAACACTAAACAGCATTACTTTTTGTCATCATTTAAGAATAAATAGAAATAATCTCTTTGAATTGTATATCTTTCAGCATATTTACTTAAGCATATACGTTTCTTTGATTAAATCTTTTTTGTCTTTAATCGAAAAACGTGATAAACATAATTTTGATAAAGATAAATAATGACATAAATTAGTGTATGTCCCCCATACCATCTCTGACATAGCAAGATCTGACGACATGAAATATTTGTCTTACATAAATGATAATAAATCAGATTTATGATATTATTATGTTTGTGTTAACAAGTTTCTGTAAGGTTTTCTATATCTTTTTTATAAAGAATTTAACGATCTATAATTTTTGGGTTTTAAATTTCAATTTTCATAACAGAAGAATATATCATGACTAGATATAGCGTTATAAATTAGACATTACATATTATCTCTTTTATTCGATAACAATATCAGTTGAAGAGATATTTAAGTTTATATATCAGGCACTCCCTACTGATCAAAGTATTTTCATTGTCATACCGTTTACAAATGGATACTGATTATAGGAATTTATGAATTCATTTATACGTACTAACGCCCCAATTTCTTTGAATTGACGTACAATATTTATCAAGCTTTTAGTTATGTAAACACAATTTGAATCGACTAATATCTTCGTAGCTGCAAAACTAAATTGTGTGGATTTATATAAATATTTGTATTTTGGTCTTTAAACACGACTTTTGAACAATATTCTGATTTCTTTAAATAGTTACTATTTCTTGCTCAAGGGTTGATACAAATAGAATAGAGAAAAACAGAATGCCTACAGAACGTCAAACACGACAAAATTGAAAATGTTGCAGGCTCGGTTTGATTGAGCTTGTTCAGGTACTGTAATGAAAAGTGCAAGTTACTGTCAATGCCTCCTCTCCTAGCACCGACCTTAGCAGAATTCAACATTTAAACATGAATAAAACATTTACAAGACTTAAGTACTGATATTAACAATCATTTATACTTGTTTCATGAAAATCCTTTTTAAGTACTCTTTCAAGTTATTTTTGAGACCTTTTCATTGAAACTATGTTCGAGATAAATCGTATACCTATGCTAACAGGAGTAGTGTCAAGTTATCGCACTGTCTGTCGGGGATACAAATAGAGCACGCTCGAAGATTGGCTACAGTTTTCTAGGGTTTACTTTTTGTGACGACAGGGCAAGTGTTCTTATTTTCACCTATACCACAAAAGAGAAACAACTTAACAAAAAAAACGACCCCTCGTACAAATCGTTTTCCAGTACTTTTTGTATTACTTGTCAAAATATTGACGAAAATTTAACACTTTGCCAAAATTTAGTTTAGAATTTAAATTGAAATAATGATCTTTCAAGATAATAATTAATCCAATTATTCAAATGTGTGTAAACTAGTAACAGTGACACATAGTCACATTGAAACTTCAAAGTTCTGACTCTATTCTGTAAAACAACTGTTGCGTTCAAGTGCATATACTAGAACAGTCAAAATAGTCTAAATATAAGCATAATCATTGCCTGGTTATGTATGTGAACTAATTTTTATTTGTAGACAATTTTCATATTTTAAGTCTTTTTCTGCTTAAGTCGATGCAAGGGCGAACGAGTACAAACCACTTCCGTCAATGAAAGCTATAGATCCAAGCCTGTAAGCCTGAAGTGTTTTAGATTGGATCTTTGTTGATGAACTTGAACGTTTCAACTTACATCTTTTAACACTGTTTATGATGTTACAAAACGATACCCCATTTAGAATTGAAAGTAAGTAGTAATCAGCGCCACATAAAAAAATACTTTTCCCTTTGTCTGATTAAGTCAATGAATACCAAATTATGCCTTTCGAAGAAAGTTCGCTATATCAAGCTTAGTTAAATAACATATTTAGTTAATTCGGTTAAGTCGTACATATCTAATGATACGTACTGTAGCGAAACAATCAAATCAAACGTTTCTGGATTAGTTACAACACCTATAGAATTCCTCTGCAGTTTAAGTGAAAGTAGGTAATCAAATAAATACAATCTGGCTTCATAAATAATTCACGAAATGATAAGTTCTAAATGAAAATTTTCGCTCTAGGACGAGGTACACGCAATTATATCGATCGCTAAGGTCAAAACATCGTGTGACTCAATTTAAATTAGAAACGGGCCGTTAGAATCTCCAAATGAGTGTAATTAACTTACATATTACACAATATGATGTAATCTATGCATAAACTTGCAAAAATGCTTATTTTCTAGACTTTATTTTGCAAAAGATTATGAGGTCGAATTCACAATTGTGTGAAAACATTAACTATATTTTTTTTGCAAATAAATACAATAGTTCGACTTACTGGCATTAATTGCAAATAATATAGAGGTCGTGGAAGGGAAAATAATATAAGAATCTTACACTGGCTGCCGGTACAGACCAGAATATCTAGCTCGAGAATAACAATTTATGGCGATTACGAGGCTCTTCCGAGTTTCCGCTAAACAGTTACTCGAGAGCTAGATATTACTGTCTGCCCCGGTTTTTGATTCTTTATCTTGCATATTACATATTTACTTTTTTCAGAACAGAAATAACGAAAACTGATTGTCTCATTTAGCACTTTTTTCTTATTGTAGCGTATGAACTCACAACTTTATTCATAATTGTAAAATGACGTCATCCTTAAACGCAATACATTTGTACATTGATAAAAGGCGTCGGCAATGACGTCATTTAAAGCGCGCGACTTGTCTTACAGGGAAAGGGGGTGTAAGATAGGGGTTTCTAGCACCGCTGTAAACAGTAGATAATCCTGTCTGATATGCAAAAAAAAGAAGAAGAAAAACATTCTTGATTTCACAATTAGTCTATACACTGTACATTAATTTTAAAGCAATTCAAAGTTAATCTTGAATTTGAAATATTTTACAAATGGTTTTGGTTTACTTATTTGTATGCATGTTTCAGACTCGACTTTTTAGTAATTGGATTTGTTCAATCAAATTAAAAATGAGTGCTTATTTAAAATAATCAGAGTTAGGTAGATAATCGTTTCTTTCATTCTATTATATTTCGTGATAAAGAGCACCAACAGTTATCAGCTAATACTTACAGTTAACACTGAACTGAATCCTCTATAACTCTTGTATAACATTCCTTCATATTGTGATGCAAGTCCTTTAAACAACACCTTTCATGCAAATTATAATTAAGATTTATTTACTATAAATAACATTTGTATTATATGCTTTCTTAGTTTTTACTCTGAAATGTATTTGTGCCGAACTGATTTGTTCTATTTGAACTGATTATGGAATAAAATGAAGAGAGCAACATTTCTCACACCGTCTAGCACCGGAATAAGCAAAATTGATTAAAAAATAATGACTTTCCAGTTTCAATTTATCAAATAAGTTTTGAAGGTTTGTTATGAATTTTTTAGAACACATTAACTATAACTATGGAACTAAGCCAATACGCTGCAATTATCTAGCCGACATTGTTCTATCGGGTTAATTACATCAGTTCTGTTTTTTTTTTATAGGATATGCTATTCCTGGAAAGTATATAGCGTTTTGCAGGATTATAGCATACCCTATATAGGTAAAGAGATGACTCTGTTACTAGGGAATTATTGATTATTGAATGGAAGCATATAAAATGATAATATGATAAAATGATAGGCCTTTACTGATGTAAATGTAGTGGAATGAGACCGAAGGTTACAAGAAAATAAGTTTCACAAAACTTTAATTTTTATTCCTTAAAAAATAATAAGAGTAAAAAAGATATTTGATTGTTTATAAATCCTTGTAAAAACGGTTGTAAAAGTTTTATGCCTGATATACTTGACTATTATTATACAACAAACAAACGTTTAAATATACTATTAGAAGCTGTCAATATTTATAGCAAAAAACGATATTGCGCTTTGGCTTTCTTCGAAATATGAAAAAAATATAAATAAATAAATTCATTGATGCAAAGCTGTATAAAGATAACGTTAACGTTACAATATTACCCAATGAGAAGCGTCGTTACAAATTTAATATAATAATTATTGTATAAATTATAAATACGTGATGATTTTTTTATGAATGTGCAGATATGTATAACAAATATAATTTTTATATCTTTTTTAATAGCGAAAATTAATGATTGAAATAATTTTATTCACAAGAGAACATTTCAAGCCAACATTAAAACAATTAAATTTTGCAATTTTATAGTAATTCATTTTTATATGAAAAAAGTCAATTCTCAGATCTTTTGTGTGATTAAGATAATTTTGTTATCACTGACATGAAAAATGCTTGTTTAAAGGTGTTTTTTTGTTTTACATTAAATTATTGTCTACCATCTTTTTTGGTGTTCAATGTTCTTGAGAGAGAGGTCACCTTTTTAAGATTTTCTTTTAATTTGAACATCTTGATAACATAAAAATGCGTTGCCGTTTGTCATATGTCTTTGCCAAGCATGTTTGAAGAGAAGTTCAAGCCGTAAAGAACACAGCATGTTCTTTTAAAATTATGTTTGAGGGAGGGTAGCACAACGTGGTGAAAATCACATTATGCAATGTTTTTGATACTTGACAATAACTGTTTTTTATTATATATTGCTGTACCGTAATCAATGATGATTGATTCACGAATATTTGAATAAAAGTTTTACAATTTTATTGGCGTGTTCCTTTTTTAATTTTTGTATTTTTGAAAGAATGAAATGAAACTAAAAATCTACATATACCGAAATCAGCCCGCGACACAGTGTTGTTTTTTAAACTTCATTCCAGATATGACTATAAGAATAAGAAAACAACTTGGTTCTGTTCTGTTCTACTGTTATTTGAACTTGTTACAGGTTTTTCTCCCGTTAAAGCGTAAATGTTTTTTGAACTTCCAAGTACGTCTTCCACCTGTAAGAAAGACACGAGTGTTCAAAAAGTTGATTTTGTGTAAAATAATAAAAAATGTAGGCGGCATGTCCTGATAATTGACATCACGGCACTATACAAACATCAGATGTGCTTTATCTATATCAGGTTTCGACGCCTACAAGTCAAATACAGCCACACATCTACGTATATATTAAGTAATGTAACAATATATTGTGGATTTTATTTGGATCAACTTGCGTGTTTGACCTCTTCAGTGTTAATGCCATGTTTAGGAATAAAAAAATACAATAGTGCATTTTCACTAAGTCAGGCTGATTTTTATTGATATATCTTATTGTTTGTTGTTTGTTTTCCCCCTATTTTTATGCCAATTTAAACACATGGTTTGGTCATATTTTGGCGGTCGATCAATTATCATTAAGAAATTACGCCTCGCTCGAGAACCTAACCAACAACCCCTGGATCACTGATGTGATGCTCTACAAATTGGCCTAAGCGAGCGGGCAAATAAAACACCTATATAGTACGAGTCTATAAATTAGAAACGGATGAACACAAAACTCATTACAGAATTTTACTGCATTTTACATTTTTGTTCGATTGTCTCCTTTAAGGAAGATATGTTTTGTTCAGTATAAAATTTATACGAAATAGACCTTACCAATAAACATTGAACATGCGAGAACAAAATGAATTAGACAAAACAAATTGAAAATGTTTTTCATAAATGTGCTGACCAGGCTAGATCATGTAATATTAAATTTGGGAAAATGCATACAAAATTAGACAGTAGATTCTTGTATGAACCATCTGAGGTACTCCACTCAGATACAAAAGCCTAAAAACCTAAAAATTTAAATTTATACATAAATCAAATGAAGCACTTTAAATAAGGGCATTACTTAAATATACACAGAAATAAGTTGAAAATCGATAGAAAGTGAATTTCTTTGCCCGATTCAATTGAAAAGTGTTGCAGTGTTTCGTGCAAATAAAATATTATTCTGGAAAACTGGTTGACGCAATGATCTGAAAACTTGCACAAAAATTATTTGCTCAGACCTATATTAAATGGACAAATCTCGCAAAGTTTCCGGTCCCGTCATTTTTAAAAAAAAAAAAAAAAAAAACAAAAAAAAAACACACACAAAAAACAATGAAAAAAAAAAAAACACCGCCCAACTGAGTCTCTTTTAAGTGTACACGATCATTTATATTACGTAGATTCACCTCTAAAACCCTCAGCAAATTAGGTTATATGTAGTTTTGATCAATTACTGAATTTTAAAGTATATATTAAATGTTTATTTCGGAATCTTACAACGATATTCGGGTAAGTGATGATTCGATTTCACAGCTACGACAACATTTAATTCAATTGTCCATTTAAACAAGAAGTATCTTTAAAAAAAAGATACTCGGCCGAAGTAAAACTG